CAGCTTTAAAAACACATGAACTGTGGATTATAATTGATTGTTAGGATTAAAAGATTATCTTATTCACTACTTTAATTCTAAATTAACATTAGTCTTCATGAATTTGATATTTTATTGAGGATTTAGAAGTCAGATAACAGATAATTTTATGAATATCAAGGACAAAAAAGAAGTGTAGTGATGATTAACGTAAATTCAGTGTTAGACTATGAATATAAGGAAGATGATTATTTATTGAAATACTACAAATTCATAGTTAAACATTCAAATTAAATGATTGTGATATTTTATTTTTAATTTATTTAATAAATTATTCAATAAAGTAAATAAAGCGATTAGTTAAAATGTAAGAAGATGGATTTTCAGAACATTAATTTCGTTAATTTTTAACTTTACAAAATTAATAAACATGTTAATTAAGATTTCTTTTTTTTATTCATTTATTTTTTCTCATTGAATTTTCAATTTCGAATAAAATGAATTTACGTTGAGGTCAACTGACGAAAGAAAAAAAAATCTCAACAAAAAATAATGAATTTTGATGTAAAAATCTAATGGAAAGAAAATCGTTCTTTTTAAATGTGTTGATTACCCTTTATTGATAATGAATGATCATTGTAAAGTTCACACGTTCATCATATTGATCACAATCGTTTAAGTGAAATTTGAATTTTAAATTTTCAAACTATGATTTTGTTTTTGGTCCATAGAAAACATTCATTGACTTAAAGTAGTTTAAAAATTTAGGCCTAATCTTTCACACTATTTAGCTAATTATAATCTAAGAATTATAAATTATGCAACTTGCCAAAAACTAATTTCTATTGAATTGGTACTTACTAATTTTAAAATCTATTTAATTTATAATCATTGAAGTAATTTTGCTTGATCGTTAGTTTGAATCCAATTATTTACTAAGTCACAATCATGTATGTTACTAATGAGTTATACGAAAGGTAACACTAGGCTTTTGAACAAACCACTGACTGAACAGTAATCATTGTTGTATAACATAGTCCGTAGGTTCAAGGATTCCTAAGGATTATCTTGAATCATTTCAATGTGAACAAGAGTGTATTGAAGCTCCAAGCAATTTATCTTACTAGTTATAATTCAATTTGATTGATGTAATGGCGTCGGATTGTGTCTTTATCGATTTCTTGATTAATGCTCATATAACAGAAATGCCAGCTTCCCATTAGTAATTTACAACAAAAACAAACGTAATTTATTTCATATTTACCTGCTCTACTTGCAACTCTGATTTCTGTTGTGGACATTTCTGCAATTATTCCTATAATTCGGTTGACCGAACAATTAATGATACTATAAATCCCAAACGATGAATTATTTTCATTTAGCGAAACGCATCAAACAGAACAATTTACTCTTATAAACAGTTCAAACTGTACGATCATTAAGGTAAACAGGAGGTGAATAAATGAATGCATATAACTTCACAAGAAAATACATTTATTCAAATGAGTCAATAAAATGTTTAAGCAACTAATATTTTACAGGGTATAAAGAATAATTGAGTAGGCTGGTACACGTATTGAATTTGACATATTTATTTGTACATGCATAATGATATATTCAAAAGTATAAGGATATTCTATTACTAATCAAAATAACGCCATATGATAAATGAGTTACTTTGACGTCTTAACTAGGTCTAACATACACAGATTTATGTGAAGATAAGTTATTATGCCTTATAATCTTTACTACTTGCATATTACAATAAATAACACGACAAAACTGAATTGTACAAATGACGAATGAAAGTATGAGCTATAAATTTATAATGTAAGAAAATAAATTTAACTTCTCATTTCTCACTTTATGTACTAACCCCAATCGCCTTATTTTATAAACAGAACATTCTAGAAGCAACGCAAAAAATAACATTTCAACAGGTAAAGCATGTGAAAATGAATAAAATACTTTAATATATAAAAAGATAAGCAACGAAGCAAATAAGTGGACAATATTGACTCAAGTTATTGATATTAACTTTGCTTTATAATAAACGTAAACTTTAAAAATGACTACTTCGTATTAATTTATGATTAAGATGAACTCATCGATCATGGACCCTGGTCTCCATTAGACAAGAACTTGAATCAAAATGATCATTTTTGACTGTTTTATGCTTTAAAAGAACTCTTAATTCATAGGACTAATGATCCTCTTTGACAGGTCTTAGATGAAACTAAATATCCAAACTGCATTTTACTGTTGATCACAGTTTAACCTTACCGAAAATTTCCCTTTTTGATTTTAAGTAACACAGAGAACATCGTTTCGTTTAAAGCAAAACTAAAATTAAACTGTTTCATTATTATTAAATCGGAATAAAATTACATCACTCTTAGACGTTTCATTCTCAGTAACAGGATATCTGTATTTCTGCTCCGAATTTACATATAATTTGTACACACATTGTACAGCTTAATCACTTAAAGAGAGTTTCCCATCAAAACAAAATTGACACCAACTAAGTAAACTGGTGAATTCAAGTTATTATTAAAGAATTAGTGGTTTCACAATTATTACAGTTCATCTTGGAATCTCCATAAACGCCCCTATAATATCATCATTTACGATTGCAAAAGGGACTAATTTCAACCGGCAATGCCGGGAGATTTGATGAAAAGGAGTGATCGGTAAAGTTTAGCCATGTCATGATGTGAGATATTTGTTAAAAATCGAGTATGGTCGGACAATATAGTGAATAGTTGGAAGATGATGTGTACACTGATGATTGCTGGCTTAGCTGTTGTCTAGATTCAGATCAGTCATTGATTCAATAAAAAATATTCAGTCCTTTCTGTTCTTTTTCAATGTATTTATTTACTCAGTTTGAATTCGTGATATAAATTGCCTCTCTATGGATACATTATTCAAGTTATGATTTAATTAGGGAGTTATAAAATAAAACGAAATGCCTTCGTTAAGAGATCCTATTTAATTAAACGAAAGAAAATGTTTGTTTACATCAGCTGTTGCAAATTCACTTTAAACAAACGATAAAAAGCTTGAATAATCCACTTAGGATAGAATTTTTTTCAACAATTTGAGGAGACTGTTAACAAGCAAACTTCGAAATTACTACTGTAGTAAATAATCACTTTCACATAACTTTTTTTATTCAAAAACAAAGTCTAAACATCAAATACAAAAATACAAATTCAAGAAAGCTCATATAAATAATTTGGGGATTAGGCAATCAAAGTCTGTTCTCTAAGCCCGCAAAACATAAAACCTCACTAAAAGTATATATTTGACATATAAATCATTTCCTCTATAAATTGAAGTGTCAGATTAAAGATAAGAAAATTTTAAAAAGTTTGTAACTAGTTGTATTTATATAATAAATATAACCACAAATGCAATGAATATATGAGTTATTTAATGATTAAATAGCTTATGGAATAAATTCAATGTTTCTAATCGAAATGAGATGTCCCACAAATAGTAAGTAAAATCCAATAAGCGAATTCTTGGGAATTTACATTTAGTTTACCAGTACACTTTATAAATAAACTCGCTGTTGAAGATTGCATTCCGAGCTTGTTTAGATGAAGCAATTTTGTGAGAACTAATTCACTTCGTAAATGATGTTCTTCAAGGAATAATCTCAACTGGAGTACCACTAGGATCCAGAAAGCACCAGTAAGCTAGTTTTCATAGAAATTCTCAATAATCCACATCCAAAACTCCTCCAGCAGCTGCACGCAGGACACTCAGGTCTTGCGAAAAACCCCAAACTATCAGAACCACTAGAATGACATTTAATTTCTAACACTGAACAAGCTAATACTTTGTGTTCGATAGCCTCGGAGTTAGCTTAGAATGTAATCTGTAGTTGATTACTTCCTACACACATAATCATAAAACTGTTGACTCTGAAAGACCTAGATTTTGATCGTATTCTATCAAACTCGTTTTGAAATCAGGCGATATCAATATGTAGTCATGTAAGTCAAACTTAGTGTATAAAATGTTCTAATATCCTAACTTAATTTATCAGATATTATATTTTTTTCATTGACGAATGAAATTGCAAAACACATTTAAAAGATGCTCAGCAATAACAGAACCAATTTAACAACAAATTATGTTTGGATAAAGTAATAAGAAGACAAAGATTATCCATACTATGTGATATATGAGCGCAATACATTTACGATAAATGACTCCATACGAGTAGTTCATTAACATCCATCGTCTTTTACTGCTAAACGTAATTAAAACAAGTCATTAGACTGATCTCGCAGTGTTGTACAAAAAGGTTCAATGGCCTAAACTAAGTCTCATTGAAACCTTATTAATACAAAAATTTAAACAGTTTGTTCTCACCCTAAATCTACCTTGGTTTTATTGATTTATTATCCACATTCACGTTGTTTTTCTCATTATTTTGTTTCTTATCTTTGTTTCATTTCACATTTCACTTATCTAATCAACGTTTCACTTTTCATATGCAAATGTTCTTAACAGAACAAACTGTCTGAAATTTATTGCGCTCATATATCATATAGTTCTGATAATCTTCATCTTTCTAAGTTACCTTATTCGCTTTATAATAATTCTGTTGCATTGCTTTGAAATATTGTCTCTGCCAAACACGTTTCTTTAATTCTCATTTTTCATTCTAATCTTGAATCAGTCAATGTTAGACTACCATAGAAAACTTAGAAGCACTGAATAGCCGTTTCGTCCTAATATGAAACTCCTCAGCTGTACACAGTCTTGACTCTGTACGCGAAAATCGAACCCAGGAACTTTAATCCGGCACACAAACGATCAGCCTCTAGGCATATTCTAGGACGAAACGGTCGTCTAGTGCTTGCGAGCTATTAATTATGGCCTAATATTGATCGATTCACAATCACATCATGAAACTCAATCTCCACAACCCTTATACTAATAACTCATTTAGTTAGAACACGGTGAAGCATGCCAATTTTATTCTAAATTTAAGTTGAAATAAATCAAAAAATCCAAAAAAAGCATTTATGCTCAGTTAAACTTACTGGATTATTTTTTTCCATTGTTTCTCTAGCTACAGAAGACTTGGAATTATTGTCTTTCTGTAAAACATTTCGTAATGTTGAGGTTAAATTTTTATTTGATCGAGTTTTATGATGATGATGGTGATGGTGATGATGATGATGATTGTGATGATTGTGATGATGACCATGATGTCCACCTGTAGAAGTATTCGCAGTATTCATTAATGCTTTTTCTTCCAAAATAACATGATGTCTTTCATACAGTGTATCAGCATGATGTTTCGGTTGTGTCCTTTTAATACTTTTTATTGCATATTTTGTGAAATAAGACGGTGATAATAATTCTGTATGATTATCGCCTTTTCTTTCCCGTTCACTAATATCTTCACTATCGTCATCATGATCATCATCAGCCCTACCGCTGTATTTAAACTCGTTTTCAGAATTACGTTCAGGACTGGTTTCATTGAATTTGGGCACTGGTGGTATGGCATCATAATTGGCTGACTTTGTTCCATCATAACCATCTGTTGATAAGTGTCTACTTGGATAAACACTATTAGCATAAGAAGATGAACCAGTGGTCAATTCACTTGGATCACTCTCGATATTTGTGTTAAATTGTTGTTGTTGTTTTTGTTGTTTATCGGTTTTTGATTTCAATAAAGCTTGTAATCTTAAGCGTAGTCTACGACCAGATAAATGTGATTTTTGTTTTTGACTTGTTTGACTACTTGTTACACTTAACTCATCACTTGTAATTGATCCAACATGACTACTGATTGGAGTTCGTTCACCTGAATGTCCACGTATCGGTTGAGAACCATAATATTCTTCAATTAAAATAACAGGTATTGAATAATTATCCGAATTCGAATGATTTATATTATCATTCATTGATTAGTTTGAAACAAGTGAATATTGATGAGTAGATGGCTGAAAAAAAAATATTGATTGGAGTTGATAAGGTTAACCTGGTCTACAAGCTACGTGATTTCAAATTTTAACATCTTATAATATGTGAAAATTGTCCACAATAGTATTACATTTACGACAACGTTTATTCATGCAATAATAAACAGCGAAACTTTTACAACTGAGGGAAACGGATACATGCAACTAGAAACTGTAATTTGCACTATGTGATAAAGAAAGCGAGGAATTATTGAACACCATAAAAATAGATCATAACACTATATCTGGATAAACTGATCAATGGTTGAACGTGAATAAATCGAACATTGACTGACAAACATTTGTAATTAATTTACTCAGTTACGTGATTAATTCCTCCTAAGGTAGCTTTATACATAATCATAGTCACGCGTTTCATTAAAACTTTAAATCTACCTTCGATTATTTCAAACTAGTTAATGAAACAGTAGTAACAGCCATTTAAACTGTAACTGAAAGTATTAGATAGCTTGAAATAATAATCTGCAAAACGTTCTATTCTCAGATTTTCTTTCTCAGTCTACAATCCTAGGCGAAATGGCTCTATGATTATAACTAGTGACATCATTTGTTACTAATAGTAATACATTAGGAATTTTCTATCGACTGTTTGGAACCGTTTCACATTCAGCAAAGTATTTGATTATGTCAAATTATTTATTTAAGTAAGCATATTGCAACTGTGATCGATAAACTTCGTCCAGCACGGACAACTAAATAATGTAAAGTTCATTAATTGCTGACTGATTGGAAATATTTTAAATGAATGGTTGATAAGATAAGGTAAGATTTACAGTATTATAACAAAATGTACCCTCTAGTATCAAGAGCATAATAATTCTAAATAATTTATTTCTACACCTGTGTATATGAAAAAGGAGTATACTGGTTACAAATGTTTGTTACAAATGTTACAAATATTTGAAATTGTATCATTTTCTTGTTCAAATGACCATGAATGACATGCATTGGTAATGTATTTGAAAATCAAAACAGAATAAAAAACTATGATGACGAGAAGATAATGATTCGTTCTTAACAAAAACTGAGAGTTCTGCGTGTAGGTTAGTTACTAAAAGAAATCAAATTAGACCACCAAAGCACTCGAAGTTCATAAAATCTCCAAGTCTAGAAACATAAAAATTGATAATCCCGATGTATTAATAAATTCGATATGAATCTGTGTAGATAAATGAAGAACCGGATATCCGAATTCTTAAAAGCATAGTGATTATGAAAGATTCAACTAAGCAAACACCTACTTTTCACCAGTCGACTTATGGATGATGTTATGATATGGTTATGAAGGATATTTGTAGCTCAGGATGAAGATGTTGGAACTGCTGTGATCTCTCAGTCGGACGGATGGATTGTAAAGCTTTTACTATTCTCATGAACATCATCATCAACACCTATTTCTCTTCACAATCAATCCAAAGAAGGGAAGAGAATTTCGAAAAAGCTTTGGTTTAAAGTGCAGTAAGTCTTAAGAAAAATGAAGTTGTTTGAGACTATAGGAGCACCTGGAAGCATTATAAATTCAGAATGAAAACTGGTCAGTGTCGAATCAGGCTTTGGCATTTAATTAGTAGTTTTCAAGAATTCTTTTGAAAGGTTATGTAAAATATTGAGTGAATGAATTACAATCAGAGTTCGTCAAGCTTCAAAATTATTTTTCTAGAAATTATCGATGCTCTTCATAACCATGATGACTTAAAAGACCCTATAAAACAAATGTATACCGTTCCTCTTGAAAGGTTTTATGATTCATAACGTATTCCAGTCATCATACCTAGAATTAATTTGGACATCATAGTGATCCAGATGAAAATCCAGCTAATTTTATCGTATATATTTCGAGACAGCGAACAACTCATAATCTAGACAATCTCAGACAATAAAAATATGAAATAATACAACTGAACATGTCACTTCGAAACAAGTTGAATAAATTTCTCGAATTTGTCAAATTTTTATTATTTCAGCAACGTCTCGTGAATTTTCATGTGATAACTTTACACACTTCTAGTGTCAGAATATGTACATTGACAGGCGTAATTCATGATGAACAAACACAGAGTTTAGCTTAATAAAATGTTTATTCATGGTGTATATATATATATATATTTCTAAGATACCTATAAAATATCATCTCATTTCTAAAAATTGTTTGAAAACTGTAAGTCGTTTACTGAACACTTATTTATTTTGCTTTATTTCACACACAGATAGGATAATTTTATCGTTTAAAGCTGTTGACTGTATTGTAAATATTTCTAATGCATTGGCCGTAACTTTAAAATACTCATCTTGACTAGTAAACTTTCAAATGCAAAGTTAGATTTCACAATTGAATATTAGTTTGAGAATTATATCAATTAAAAAAAACTGTGTTCACAGGAGTTTGTGTTCGCTGCGTTTTATTGTTTCCAAAAGGTTGATCGCCTACAAAAATTCAAAAATAAGAGAATCTTCTGACATTCGAAAGTTTATACTACCTTAATTGTTGGCGGTATGTAGGAATTCGCACTACGAGATCAGGTTTTGAGTAATTGCAATGAAACTTGATGATCAATGGTATAAAGTAATTGTGGGTGACAGAAATTCAATTGTTGGCATGTTGAAACAATCTTAAACTAACTTAGATGATAAAAAAAATGTTGTACATAACAAGTCACGTTTAATGGACAGTTAACGATGTAGACTAAGTCTATGATGCACATCATTAGTAGCAGACAGTAGGTAATGACTCTGTGAAAAGATAACATTAGCTGAAACAACTTTTTTAACTTTTCAATTATTGATCATCTTATTAATAGGTTATTCATCCTTTATTGTACTTTCTATTTCTTGTCACATATTCATTTGCTTCATTTTTCTGTGAAGTTAAATAGAGACGATTATTGAGTTGACAATCATTTTTGTGGAAATTTCAAGTTTTTATCTTTGCTTAAACTTATTCACATCATAAAATGTTACTAAGCTAGACAAGATACGAGCTTATTTGTTAAACTGATCCTCTCCCTTTGTACATCCAAACAAATCAATGTGAGTTCTTCTGAGTCTCGGAGGGTTAAGTTTATATATTGACAAACATGTAGCACAGCGCCATGTACTTATTCAGCCATGATGTAATAAATGGTATTTGAAGTATTTCTTAGTCATTAAGTCAGTTGCTATGTAGAACTAAGAACTAACATACATCAGTCCAGGTCGCCGCATATCATCAGTGCAAAAAGATACAATCATCAGGCTGACCACATTAATAGAGGCAGTAATAGTATTAGTGGTAATGAAAAAGAAAATATAAATCAGTTAAAAAGTGAAAGTGTTATAATGAACTGAGAAACTTAAAATTCGGATAAAGGCTAAAACTTTATAAACTGGATAAGAAAATACAACACAACCATAAACGAACACATGAGCTACAAATCTCCATCATTGTACACCTGATGTTTGGATGTGCATCACCAAATCAAATAAACAACTTGTAATTTTGATTCATAATACAAGTAGCAAGTCTGTCAACAAAATACATACAACAGCGCGTATTTAAAATTCAGGAATTAGTTTTACAAGGTGATACCAGTAAAAGCAGATCTTAGTAACAGTACAATGTCTGCTATCCGCATAGAACTAGACACCCTTTGCATAATTATTTTACTCTATTTTAAAGTAAGGAGAGTGATTGATCCTGGTAAAAGATATGATGGTCCATTTACCAATTTCTACAGTTATGAATTATGAAGGCAGCAGGTCAGTCAGACACAGAGTAGAACTTGGTATGCATGTACATCGCTTCCAATATTCCATTTTCACAGAGATAAAATTATAAGGCCGAACCATAGAGTAGTAGAAGCGGTATCAGTATCAATGATAAAAGAAAAGATTAAGGATCGTAGTTAAGGTTCGGAAAAAACTTAGATTAATCTGTAAAATAAAAGTATAGAAATGTTATAAGGGGTCCATAAGCTTGGAATCTGTGCCATTGCAAACGATTTTGAGCCACGTCATTGAAAATAGCTAAAAAACCCGTTACCATTGTTCCTCAGACACCAAACTGGTAGTCTACATCTACTAACATGGCTCAGTTGAGGTGTTAATGACTCCGTGGACTGATACCATGTTTTGTTTTGGCCATCCCTAACTTCTTTTATCAGCCTACTCCTACACCATAAAACATAGCTCGTCGAGGCAGTCAATGATTGTGCATACGCAACAAATATCCCAACTACCTAAAATGATGAAGATTCATTACTTCATCAATTGATTTGCCATTCTTATTTAGTACCCTTTTCACGACACTAACATTACTAACTCCATGGTCCCAGGAGACATGAGCAATGCTTCGATAAAGCCTATGAGCGGATACTAGTAATCAACGAATATCTCCTACTTCTATTGGCCATGTTTCATACCCATAAAGAAGAACAGAGCGAAGTTTTCTCCAGTAAACTCGTCCTTTGGTTAGCAAACAGATATCCTGAAGACACCATAAGTGACACAAGCTGAAAAAAGTTAGTCCAGCTTTTATTTTATGTTGGCTGATAGAATCAGCAACATAATCCTTGGCAAAGTTTATATAATGGTAAGTCTTCAGAATAGTTCAAATGATATATGTTGTTTTCTCCACAGCAAACATATATATCAAGGACTAAGATTATATGTGAAAGCTGTGAGTTAATTCTTGAAGTCCCACGCAATTACGAATTAGAAGATAAGAGACATTTCACTAAGCTGTATCAGTCTAATGTAAATGACTGTTGATATATTTGAGTAAAGAATTTTTTGCCGTCATATTGTGAGTAAAAATTTATTAAGACTTGACGGAAGTATTCCTTCTATATCTCTCTGATTTGTAACATTTCACTAATGCTCCATACACTGAGTTAACTATCTATCACTATGTTTTCCATTCACTTGAATTTGTAGCCTGATTAATT